TGCTAATAGCATTTGCTGAAATTGGAGTGAATAACCTTTCCCTTTTACTCTAGCAAAAGCTAGATATTTCAAGAATTTACTGAAAATACGGAGATTTCATGAAGTATATTCAGCATTCCCAAAAAGTGTGTTTGCGAGTTTTTATACTGATAACGCCGACATTCATATTTTTATAAACCGGAATGGTATGAGGTTTGTTCCAACACGTCAAAAACTGTCTCATGAAATCACTCTGTATACAAATTTCGGGTTCAACGTAAAGTGTGTGTTTTTTTTTTAAAATAATTCCCCAAGTCAAAAATCTAGTAACTATGTTGGCAACACAAGCCTTTTCTACATAAAAAATTTGAAAGCATTGACAATTTTTCATTGTATTGCCAACATAATGTCATTTTGAATTTATCTTTAAAAAAAAACAGACTTTATAAATTTTTGGCTTTGCGCAGAATCATGACGGTACATTGTACGGTTTCTTGATGTGTTGGAACAAAGCTATGACCGACGGCGTGAAAACATTGAAAGAAGTCTATAAAAATACTGGGTACGTTCACCAGTACTCCGCAGCTAACAAGCAGCGTAAAGCAGTTAAAGACAGTTGAGATACAACGGTTGTGAATTTCCTGAATATAAAACTTTTTGACAGATAACTAAAAGTTAACTTCTAGAATTACTATGAGAAGTAATGTCATTCCAGAAGTTAACTTCCAGTTATTCTGTCAAAATAGTTTCACAATACCCGCCCTTAAGCCTGAGTTGAGTTGGTAAGCGTAAATTTTTACCGCTTAGAGAAATCGGCAGCAGCTGACCAAAAGCGGCTTTTGCTGAGCGCCGCTGAACTAATGATGTCGCTGAACGCGATTATTTCCCCTTTCCTCAACTACTCAACTGTTGGCAACAGTTGAGTGCTGGTGATGGTACCCATTTCAAATAAGGAGCGGTATCGAAAGCCAGCGCTTCAAGGTGAAAATTTATAGTGATTCAGACAATTATATATAGGTGATTTGTTGGAGGATGAGGTTCCTGAAAAATCTTCAGCCAACCTCAAATGGACCTTTCTCATTTTACCTGTGCTGCGCGCGCATCTTGTGGGTGACAGATAATTATATCGTCAATTTACTGAACACGGTCTGACCCTGACGTATTTAAGCTAACCTCAATAATCAATCAGTATCAATCAATATTGCTGAAAATTAATACAAAAACTGTTTATGATACAATGGTTCAAATTCCCTAATAACACCGATCTCCCAGAAACATCCTATTTATGTACCATTAAGGTCCTTATGTTTCCGACATAAATGGTACATCGCTGCGATGTTTGTAATGTAACATCTCTAGGATGATTGTCCTGAAATGTTTTAGAAACATCCTTTCGTAAATATCTATCGACAAAAAGATTGTTTGTTCTCAAAATTAGATACTTATTACAGCTAAAAAATGGCTAACATTATTTTACAAAACTAGGTAGGACCTCAGACCGGTAGGACCCAGTATTAAATTTGCCAATTTTGTGTGATTTCTGAAAATGTCTCTATCACACACACAAACTAATTTCAAATTCCATAATATACCTGTAATGTATATAGATAATAAGGAACTTAATATTAATTTTGTATTGTAACAACAGCAATATTTAATTTTTCATTCGACTTACAACTTGGAATAAAATAAAATATGTATTGATAAAAGTCTTCTCTCTTTTCAACTTTCAAACATCGTGAATATTCGTGAAGCCGAAGTGTATGGCGCAGGCGCGTGCTCAGGCATTTGTACTTGTACCGGTCAGGACAGGAGGGCACGCCACCACGTCGGGTCGGCGCCGCAGCCAGCGCAGACGGGCAGAATCAGTCGAACGGGTCGTCCTGTGCGCTACGCTTGTGTTGTTGGGCGGAATTTTATTTCGTAATGGCGTCGTGCTGTGTGGAGGATTTGTCAATTTGTGGTTTTTCGCTACACCTAGTTGTGCCATTTTGTGTTCGAAAGGATCTCTGCGACCTACCAGTGCTTATTAGTTGGTGAGAAAGATTATTTGTTGAAAGATAACGTCGCATAACTATCAATTGTTTAGTTTATTTAATTTCAATATGGCGTCGGTTAGGAAATTTCTAACTTTTCTGATAAATAGCCCCTAGAAACCCGAACTTCATTCTTCATTAGGTAAGAGAAAATAACCAATAATTATTTTTTGTTTTCATAGTTGATTACATTCTAGGTGTGCAAGTTGAATTGTACTTCAAGAACTTTGGATTTTGGTTCTGTGGTTGTTTTGGTTAGATAATGGTACCTTTATGAAATTGGAGCACCAACAAAAAAAGAAAACGCCGAACTCCCCTACTACAACATGCTGCCACTGCCAAACTATGGTTTTCGATGACATGACGGGGCATAAATACTACATTATTTAGGCAAAATTGTCCGTCGATTATTATTAGTTGATAGATAATCAATATAAGTATACATGTACCTTATTTTTTCAATAAAAAATGTTATTGGAAACTGATGTGCCTACTTAATTTTATAATTTTCAATTTTTGTTTTTTTTTGGAAAAAGTTCTGACTTCCAGAAAATAGAACGAAAATTGAAAATTATTGAATTAGGTAATTTTTAATCCATAATCCTAAAATTCATTCACCTATTAAAGTCATACTAGAAACATATAGAGGATGTTTCTTACACCTGCCCCGGATGTATTAGGTACATCCCGCGTCATCTTAGAAACATCCCTGAGAGATGTTTATAGGACATCGCAAATGATGACACGGCTGTTGCCTGCAACATCCCAGGGATGTCCCCAGGAAAATAGGGACCTCCCAGGGACGTCTTCATTATCCCTGATGGATGTTTCTGGAATGTTTCTGCGATGTTACTGTGTTATTAGGATGAGTTGAATGAATTCTTGTCAGAATTAGGCGAAAAAGAAGTCAAAGCTTTCTTTCCACAAGTTCCCAGGCAATCAAATTGTAAGAAAACAATAGTTACGTGCTCTCAACCCGAATGAAGAAGATTTAAGTTGGGATAGAGATTTGAGGGTTCGTAAAATAACGATTTTTATATCAAATACAATAATAATGTACAATTAAAGGTTTGCTGCAAACATTTTTGCTGTGGTGGGTTTTCTTTCTAATTAATGTTAATACGTATTTTGTCATATTTACGTTTAAAAATAAACAAAAACAGAAACATAACCGAAATTGCACAATTTGACAAGTGGAACCAATCAAAGTCATTCCACACAGGTATCGCGCGTCATTATATCTGTCTTTTTCTCTATTGCAGAAATCTTAATAAACTATCCTTGTTGTTCATTGCATGAGAAAGGTCCATTGACGGACCCTGGCACGACTTCCTTCTCTTTCAGGATAGAATTTCCTATATTCAAAAACGCAGCCATTTCTGCCAAATTTTTAAAAATCACTAAAACATTTAAGCTAAGGTTTACCAGGCTTGCAAAAATGTAAGCTTTTCCTTCATATAATTAGGAATTGTTTACTTTTATTCACTCCATTTAAAGACAGTGCTAAAAACTGTAGCTTTTACTTATTGAATTTTTAGTTAAAGCTACTCATTTTTATTCACTGCAAAGTAAGTATTTGCTTAGGAAATGCAAGATAAAGCTTTTACTAAATTTTTATTCACACTACCCATTGTGTACCAAGACTAGCTGACTTTGGTGGCACTTTTAGAACTGATAAGGTGTTCTCTATGGGCTACTTGGCCGCTGTAAGTTGGAATTTCTCCCTAAGAAAAAGGAAGAAATTCCAACTTACGATGGCCATTAAGCCCGAATGAAAACACCTTATCAAAAAACCTGGGCCGCAAAAAAAAATTTTTATTAGTTCAAAATTTAAATTGGACTATTATGAGAGTGAAAGTACCCATTAGCACTAAAATATCTGGGGGCGGATTACAAACTCTCGATTCGAACCGAAACCGCCATGGATTTCGAACGCACTCCATGCAAATGCATCAGAATGCGTTCGAAATCCATGGCGGTTTCAGTTCGAATCGAGAGTTCGTAATCCGCCCCCTGGTTATTAGAAACATTTTCATCTTCTCAGGAATAAATTTATTACCTTGAATCATCCCAGGTTAAATCAGTTCAACAAATCGAGGTTCAAATCTTTAATCCATTTAAATCTTCTTAAATCAGGTTAAATCTTCCTAAATCAGGTTAAATCTTCCTAGATCAGCTTAAATCTTTTTAAATGATCCAATAAATCTTTAAATTACCTTAAATCACCTTAAATCAGTTAAGGTTTGAATAAAAATCTCTTAAATCCGATCAAATCTGTTAAATCAGTTAAAATCAAGAGTGATTTTAAATCGGTGTACACATTTTGAGGAAGTTGACCGCCCCCCGACATTTATATGGAGGCAATGTTTGTTTCGAGGTTTGTTTACATTTACTGCCCACATCGCCATCTTGAATTACCAGCTGATTTGAATCAAGGCACTGCAATTTCAAATTTTTCATCAAACAAAGTACCAGTTCAATGATTGAATTAATCATTCCTAATTATAATGTTAAATGGAAAACCAAAATTTATGATTATACAAGGTACAGTGTTTGCACAATAAATTAAAAGCCTCTCGCTAAATAGGCATTTTGTCAGAATAGCAATTTCAAGTGAATTCGAGTTCAATTAGCAACCATATGGCCCTAATTAAAGTGTGTCATTAAACTTGTTTTAGATTTTTATTAAATAACAAGATACTTAGTTAATATTTGCTAAATTTTTGAGGTTGCTGATGAATGACACTTTCAACAAAATTTATAGGACTTTGAAATTTTTGAAAAAGGAATCATTTTTATAAAGGGTACATATTTTACAATCCCTGATTTACATAGGTAATTAAACTTAGCTTATCCTTTTAAACTAGAAAGCAAACCTACCAGCATCTAAACTGAGATTAGGTAATACAAATATTTGGAAAGCAGAGCAAAACATTCAAGAAGAAATGCTTTTTTTTATGAAACGAAAATTATACAAATTCTTACGTTGTGTTATCAAATCCTGGTAACATTGCGTTTCCCGTTTATTCCTGTTTTGCAATTGCAACAGCACATTCTGGCGCCACTCTCCCAGTTCCATATTATTTATGTGTTTTCAACTTTCAAGACTCGTAACCTAAAAAACGTAGCAGGAGCCCTGCATCAATCTGAATTACCGACTTGTATGCCACTTGTTAGACCGAGCGTTATCTTGATAAAATATTTATTGAACACTTGTTAGTTGATACTGAATTGCATGTTACAGATTTCCAAAAAAAGAAAATGAAAATATTAACACTACACTAACCAAATTTTTTTGTTGTTGATTTTTATTTTGACTTTTGACACTTTGGGAAATCAGCTGATACCGGGAGATTAGGGATGGACGGCACTGTAGGTAGCGATCGATAGTTGACTGGTGGACGGGCAATCGGCTTGAATTTTGAGGATTGGCTATGAGGTCACCATCAGTACACTATTAGGCGCATTCATATAAATTAAAGTTGAATACCGAAATGACTTGTATCACATATTTCAACATAAATAACTGAACAAACAGTTACAGTTTTAAAATGTCATTGAATAAAGTTCTTCGAGAAAGTGTATCAATAAAACTGTTTAGTTAAAAAAGAAATGCTGAAGTTTTTTATTTTTTCGGGAAAGGAACCTGGATCGTACTACGTACCTACTTACTACGAGACCTACGTTCAACGTAGGTATCGAGAAATCGAGAAATGCAGTGGTGCGACACTGTTACTAATTAAAACTACAAACAATTTTTGTGGAGTTAAACTTAACTTGAAAGATCGATAAAAATTAAAATATAAGTTGATGTCGCAAACACTTTTCATTCAATTTTAGTTGCGATCAATAAACGCTATTGATTCTAAATGACTTACCAACCTACCACCAACCTACTCCAACCAGTTTGTTAGTTAAACTCCAAATTCAGATTTTAGTGTAGGGTAAAGTGGGGCAGGTTCGGACGGATTTTGTTAAGGTGATACCGAATTTTTATTTCAGCTAATCTTAATATTCTAGAAACGCAAATATATTGCATCATATGTTTTTAAACCAATACCATAGCAATTTCAGAAAAAACTTGCACCGTTTTTCGTGAAAATTAAAATAAAAAAAAGTTGACAGTTGTCCGAAGGTGCCCCACGGTGAGGTAGTCTTGGACACGCATGGGGTAACTCATATACTATAAAAGTTTATTTTTTGACAGGAATATTTTAAATAGTTTAGCATCAAGCTTAACATCAAAACTTATAGTTTAAAGGAACTCCAAACATACAAACCTAACAAACCTATGAACTTTGGCACTAGCCTACAAAAATAAAGGATATAAAAATAAAAAAAATAATTAATGACAAAAAAACGTAAATTAAACATGTTTTTATTATTGAAGTATGAAAGAATTTATTTTAGAATGGAAGAACTAAAATTTACGTTAAATTTTAAAAATTTAACCATGCAAGCATTCCCAGCATGAGAAGTTGATAGTCCGAATGTGCCCCACCCTGTACTGTTCGTATGTGCCGAATGTGCCCCACATGTACCGTGCATTCAATTTATCTTGATAACATTTTAATTCGCTGTAACTTTTTTGTTTTTGAAGGTATCAAGGTAAACAAAAAAACAAAATGTAGGGTTGGTAGCCAAGTTTTTTTTCAAGGTACCTATAAAACAAAACACTATCAATTTTATGACATATGAGCCTACATTATATTTTTTCAAATGGAACACCCTCTATATTATATATGCGTTTGATAGAATATCTTATTTCGATTACAATGATATAACACACTTTATATTTTAGTCCACTCGTTTTTGACAAATCGGCAAAAATATGATATTTTTATATGCACTATCAATGATTCTCTCCCCAAATATCAGATCGCCGCCTAATAAGTTTCACTTCAAAAGTTTCATATATTTTTGCCGATTTGTCAAAAACAAGTGGACTAAAATATGGAGTGTATTATATCATTGTAATCGGAATAAGATATTCTATCAAACACATATATAATATACAGAGGGTGTTCCATTTAAAAAAATATAATGTTGGCTCATATGTCAGAAAATTGATAGTGTTTTGTTTTATAGGTAACTTGAAAAAAAACTTTGCTACTAACCCTACATTTTGTTTTTTTATTTACCTTGATACCTTCAAAAACAAAAAAGTTACAGCGAATTAAAATGTTATCAAGATAAATTGAACGCACGGTACAAAATGTAGAAAAAACTAAAAAAAATTAAAATTATAATGTCTTGTTGATTCTTGAAATATAGGTAGCTTATGTGGTGGGAAACTATCATACTTTGTACGTATACCCCTTTAAAACTTAAAAATTACATCACAAAATCTTGCAAAACCTTTGGGGTCACTATTTATGTATTTCTGGTGATCACTCCCAAATTTTTCGATACCGGCACAAAATTTTGTCTGGCGATATGAAGCAAGCACTGGTACCAACTGTTAAAATGCCGAAACGCGTTTAGTTTTGGAAGGAGGTAAATTCAAAATGTCCGGAGGTGCCCCATGTCCGAGCCTGCCCCACTCTACCCTATTTTCATAGCTTTTTCTCCATAGCTGTACTAATTATTATTTCAATACGATATAGGGTGATGACAAAAAAATTTCACAATTTAATGAATCAAACCGCAAAAATGTTATATTTTGAGACAAGCTTACTGCAAGTTTTGGTTAAGGATGTTCTAAAACTATGTTGTATCAAGTTTTGTTGTTCTCAAGGCCTCAAAATATGTAATTTTTCTAGGTCCAATAAATTTTGAAAATTTGTTGTGATCACCCTGTATCATTTTCAAACAAAAATTACTACATTTGGGTTTTAGACCATTCTAAACAAGAATCTTCTATCAGTTTTTTTGTAAAAAAATCCGTAATAGTACCTATACTTATTGAAATTTGAGCCTATAAAGCCTAGTACTCATAACTGCGAAATTCGCATTTTTTTGACATTGCGTTGACAATCTGACGTTATATGCGTGTATCAAACGTCAAATTGCCGAAGCAATGTCAAAAAAATGCGAATTTCGCAGTTATGAGTACTAGGCTTATATGTGGACACCCTGTATACACCAGTACAGCCGCAGAAATAAAATTATGCGCCTATTAAGTGCCAAATTCAAATAGATATAAGACAAAAAAAATGAATTGAATCGGTAAAAAAATAAAAATTTTAGAAGGGTCGTGGGTCCTCAATAAGCGGAACACTTTGTATAAGTCGTTGGTATGTTAATAATAAAATTGGGTCAAAATGCAATACCTATCAGTTTTTCTTGATTGAGGGCACCAGCTAAAGTCTGTTTTTTTTTAAAGATAATTCCCAAAGTCAAAAATCTAGTATATGTTGGCAATACTAGCCTTTTCTACATAAAAAGTTTCAAAGCATTGACAATTTTACATTGTATTGCCAACCGAATGTCATTTTGACTTTTATCTTTAAAGAAAAACAGACTTTATGTATTTATGCTTACACTATGGAACTGCTTTGGACCGACTTAGGGCGGGTAATGCGGGTATTATAAAACTACTTTGAGAGTTAACTTAAAGTTAACTTCTAGAATTACATGTACCTAATTCAAAAAGTTAACTTCAAGTTAACTGTCAACGCAGTTTTATAATACCCACCCTAGGGTGGGTATTATAAAACTACTTCGAGAGTTAACTTAAAGTTAACTTCTCGAATTACATGTAATTCAAAAAGTTAATTTCAAGTTAACTGTTAAAGCAGTTTTATAATACCTGCCCTTAGGGTTGCCACCTCTCCGGGTTTCACCCGGAGTCTACGGGTTATCACATATGGTCTCCGGGCTCCGGATTACTAGGTGTTTTCTCTCCGGGTAAAACCGCATTTAACAAAAAAAAAACGCATTTAACAAAAAAAAAACGTAAAAATAATTCTTATGTCCAGGAAAAAAAATAAGATTTGGCAAAGGCGCAATATTGTTCCTGCTCTCCCTCAAGGATATTACACACTACTAAAGGATTGCTCATCGAACTCGATTTTAGGAATCAAGGTCATATGGTGTTGCACCGTTGCCGACGTCATCTACGGTGTCGTTAACTGTTTGCGCCAGCGGTCGTAGTTTAAAATATACATTTAAAGTGCGACAACTGAGTGAACCTTTGTAACGTATGAAGTAGCAGAGGGGAAGACGAAAACCCATACTATACGACGCGACAGGTCCCCGACGTGGGTATTGCGAAAATTGCGGTTACCCTGACGCGACGAGTGCGACGACCCGCGTATATGTATATTTTATCTCGCGCCAATCAGGAGGGTTTTGTCCGCATTCTTTCCACACAGGTTCATTCAGTTGTCGCACTTTATGATGGAAAACATTATTTAATTTTGAATATGTAACCTAATAGGCAAAGCGGAAGATGCAAACGAGATTTAAAAAGGTTGTTTTAGAATGTTGCGTGCGGCTAGATCAATCGTTAGTTAAGTCCATGTTAGTTAACAAAAACCTCAGATTGTGTCAATGTCAATATGAGATTGTTTTTGTGTGGTAAGGTTGTTGTTTGCTAACAAGGACTTGCTCCAATGACTAAAACCAAGTATGCCAGTGTTGCCAATGTGGTAAAGTCAGATTACCCGAATTTCCAGGTGAAATTACCCGATCTTTACCCAAGTTTGCAGTGGTTTTGCCAAATTCAGGCGGGAAAAAAAGGGCATATTCCAAAACAGCGCTAAGCAAAAAAAAAGTATTTTAGGGGTTCAGGTATCTTTATTTTTGTTTAAGGATATAGGCTAGAGAAAAGATAAAGATACACTCGTGCTTCGTGTCATGCCAATCGATGATGCTAATAGGATGCTCATTTGTGCTTGCTCTACCTGCTCGAAAAATTAGGAAGATCTGCTAGGAGCAGCTATTTATGAGCTTATATATGGAGCAAGTGAAAACTAGAAAACAATGCATATTTCAATTATTATTTTGAAGACTTTTTTGAGTTTTTTTAACCATTTTTTACCATACTGGGGACTAGGAGTCTCGATTTATAAAATGTTAGAAAATTACCCTGCTTTCAGTCAAATTACCTGCAAATTGGGTAATTACCCGCATATTGGAAACACTGGGGCGAGTTCAGGAATGACACACCCAGTGTGAGTGTGACCGGTGCGACGCCCTAGCTGTTCAAAAATGCTAGACGGTCCTATGGGCCCAATGGCTAATTGTCAATTCAGGCACACCCATAAAATCGCACTCGCACCCGGTGCGTTATTTCTGAACTCGGCCCTGAAGTATGCATAGAGCAAAAGCCAGCCGCCAGCGGAATCGGAATCATAGCCTGTGGTGCAAACACCCTAGGTCAAGGCGATGAAGGACATGCTGCCTATGTCATCAGGGATGCTTTGGCGTGGTGGGAGGCTTCAGATTTGATCTACAGAGGAAGCCATATGCGGATAGGCTTATAGGCTATCCTATGGTTGTCCTATCCTGTGTAGTGTGTAATAATCCTTGGATCTCTCAACCCTGAAGCATCATCCGGTGATGCCAGTGGAGACTTGTGTATAGATAGAGTGTACTTAATGCATCTGTTATCAGATTTGTAGGACTTTCTTTTTCAGTTTTTTTTTTTTTTTTTCAATAAGGATTTTTTTTTTCTGGTTCAACTTACTTTTCAAGGTGGCATCCCTAGACCGACTTGATGAGATAGCGGACCTTGAACTAATATTTGATAACATCATTTAGAAGTAAGAACCCTATCTACGCTTGTCATATGAATTCGGTTGGGTCGCTTCAACGAACGTAGGTTCCTGAAAAATCTTGTTTTAAGTAGGACGAGGTGTATTTGGAGAGAGAATGGGACAACAGTCTATTGCTCGCTCGTTTTGACGAGTCATTTTTATTTATTAGTCGAAAGATAATATTGATTAGGTTCTTGTTTAATTTGTTCCACAATATAATTGATTCTTCCTTCCTTTCGTCTACTGTTAGCCTATTGGTACATCGTCTGAATGCTAGAGGCTCACTAACTTTCTTTCTCGAATCTCGTTAATCAAGACATTTGCGTTTATACAAAGACAGTCAAAGATAGTGGCATAGCTCAGAGTTAAAAAAACATCATTTGAAAATATACTTCACTAGAAATAAAGATAATCTGGTTCAAAAATCAGAGTATCGAGAATATCACAATGGAGACAAAGTATTGATTCTTGGTACTTATTGCAAGTGACTGATTGGGCTCATTGATAGCAGCTTGTTGTGGAAAAATTCAATTTAGAATTCAAACGGCTTCAACTATAATTTTAACGACAAGCGATATTTATGATTATTCCTAAACTACAACGGTTAAAAAAAACATCATTATTAAATGGAATTTTCATATTTTTAATACAATAATTAAAACAAGTACCTACCTATGATTTTTAGAACCTAAGATTTTTAAAAAATTCTTGACTAGATTAAACAAATTACTTATATCACTTAAGATTAATAAAAAGTGCAAATCATTGAAAATTGAAAACTATAATTGTCTATTGACTATTGAATCAAAATAATGGAAAACTTGGTCAAAAAAGGAAGATATAGATATGGTCCATATTAAAATCAGTTACTTATGCTTATGGAATGCAAAAAGGAAATATTTAACAGTCTATGTAAATTCCTTAAATGAAAAATACCTAACCAAAACTGAAACCTGGTCCATAACTCTAAATAATTATCAAGTAAACCAAAATAAATTCTATGCTTTGCCTTTTTTATATCTCAGTCTTGCTTGCGACTTAGTATATCTTGGAGTTCTTTTTATTTCTTCTTTTTCTTCTTCTTCCTTATTGCTTTTGTCTTCTATGTAAAAAAAAATACGATTTCAATATTGGCTCAATTTATAATAATTATATTCTAAGCCATGTTCAGATAAGTTTTGTACTCAGTTTTGTAATTAGTGGAGGTATTTAGTAAATAATACAATCAATTGAACAAAATTACTCCTGTGTATCTGAACAGGGCTTTAACCTTACCTAGATCAGGAGGCGGCTCAAGCAAGGCTTTTCTCTGATGTCTCATATAGGTTCTATAGCCTCTAGCAATTGCATATCCAATTAATGATATAGCTATTGTTATAAAGGCCATTAAAAGTGGATGCTACAAATTTGATACAATGAGACTAAATCACAAACTTTTAAGTCTTAATATACTTACAGTAGGATTTTTTGTGGTCATAAAGTCTGCTACCAACATAGTGACACCGATAATAATTCCCATACCAGCTCCAACCCACGGGATTTGCTTTTCTATGGTTCTTTGTTTTAACAATTGCTTTGCGGATTTACTTAAGGCATCTATTATGTTACTGTCGTCGGGTTTATATTTAAATGCATTTTTGTAGGAATCGTAAGCTGCACTGTAGTGACTTGTTGCATATTCAACTTCACCTTAAAAAGGGTAATAAGTGGTTTGTAGAGTTTATGGATTTGATCAAAGTTCCAGTGTAGTTTGTACTGTGGAAAATATCTTTTATTAATTATTTTATGTCATACCAATACATTATTGTGTTTTTATACCTTAGATACCATCTACATAATTCATTACTTTATGCCCGTGCGGGCATAAAGTACACATTATGGCCCGCGCGGGCATAAAGACGCAAAAAACAGTTTTCAATTAACTTATTCTTTATTAAGAAAATATAAATTTACGCTGATAAACCTATTATTTTTGTCAAAAAATTATGATGTTTGCACACTGATGACAATTTGCGAAGTGACACTTTTTTCCCAGGTATTTATTATTCACAACCAACTGGAATGACATAAAAGTTTGTATGTACCACGGGTACTAATAGATATATACCCTCGGGCGACTTACGAACCCTAGGGCCAGAGGCCCTCGGCTTTGTAAGACTGTCGCCCTCAGGGCATAATCATCTACTTAGTACCCTTGATACATAAATAACTATAATAATTAAATCATGTCACTACACTTATGTAGGGTCAACTGGGGTAATTGTGAACAGTTTTAATAATTTTAACTTTGGTAGTGATTATCTAAGGTTTCTTATTTTCTAAATCTATGAAATTTGGATTCAGTGTCGGTTAGTGTATCACATATTAATTTACCAGGACAGACCGTCATTTGGCACATTACTTTTTATTTATTTTTTTGATTTACATTTACCCCACACATTTACAATTACCCTGGTTAAAAGGGGCAAATGTAAACGAAGGTTTCATGGAGTATTAGGATGATACTAGAATTTTAAGGGGCAAATGAAAACAAATTTAGTATGACTATGTTTTTATAAATTTTTTTTTCAAAAGAAGGGTATTTACATTTACCCCAGAAAAAATAAAATATGTAAATTTCTAAGGGCATCAGAGGGACAAACTAACAAAAAAACACTTAAAAATAACAGCTAGTAGCTCATTAAACAGTGGGCTTAACCTATGTCAACCTATTCATTATCTTAACATCACTACAGTCACAAATCTGCTACCAGCTTTATTTTTCGAAAACCGCTAATGACACAGGAAAAACATAAATGACTTTTTTGTTACGATATTGAAGGTTTGGGTTAGTTTAATCATTTCAAATGTTGTAACTTATATCATTTGGCTTCTCAACAAACTCTGTTGATGTAGAATTTAACTCCTGAAACCCTTGAACCGTAACATCTTCTTCTTGATCGATGTTTTGTATACAACAAACTTACTCATAATGGATTTTATTTTTCTTTCTACCCTGAAAATCTACTAATACAAACAACCCTGTTTTTAATTCATTCCAAACTGGTTTATATTCAACTTCACTTATTGATTCCAGTAATGACTAACTTTAATAAATCTTCATCAGAAGAGACACATAGCCGATTCGTCTAACAGTTCTTCTTGAATTTCTTCTTCCTCATGAACAACCTTTCTTTTCTTACCATATACCTTTTTAATCCCATTCTCATTCTTATCTTTTTGCTTTTTATTGGTCCCCTTCTTTTGATCTCTTAACTTTTGAGCAGTTTCCATTTTCCCTAGAACCTGTGGGGTAGTTAAAATTTCGCTATACATTTGTTTTGTGGTTTTAGTCTCGGTATAATCTGCCTCTGTACCTTTTTAACATTTGATTGGTTAATGTCACACATTAATGTAACTATTACTTTGCTCAGCAAATATGCTAACTATTGTGTTGGAAGTGAATGTGGCGGTGGATGTGTGTATGCCTTTAATAGGTGTAGAATTGTCAGGTGGCTGATCAGGATCGTTAGCATTCGAATTAGGACTTGGCATATCCTGGCAATTTTGTGGTAAAGACACTGACTACCTACCTGATTACCGAAATTTTTGCATTTACATTTACCCCATTTTAGGATTTACAATTACCCCAACACTAAATTCTTTGGGGGTAAATGTAAATAGTATTTTGTAGGTTACTACTTGCAAAATGCTTCTAGTTTTTTGTTTAAAACTAAGCAAGTATGACATTAACCATCACCTAAACCAAAATTCGAATCACAGTTACCGTTTTTGGGTCAGCAATTCACTTCTAAAAAAACCTTCACAAATCTGTTTTTCAGTTGAAACTGCACTGTTATGTTCACATGGCCGCATTTCAGAACCAACTGCCATTTCAACCTCAAAAACCACCCTTGGCTAAACAAAACGCGGGAAATGCGGATAATGTTGTCAATTTTAGGTCAAATTCACTCTTAGCCAGAAAATACAAGGTATTTTCATTTACCCCTTTTCACATTTACCCCAGTTGACCCTACATATTCAGATAAAATAAATTTTGTAAATTACATACATATCTCCCTTTCTGTAGCTTTACATGGGTTCTGGTCTGGGAGCATTAGAATATTAGGTATAAGATAAAGGATAAAGTATAAAAAATAAAAGAGTATCAGAATAAAAAAAACTGGAGGATTTCTGGTCAATGAAATTCAATAATCAAATAACTTCAGATGGCAAAGAGATTGCTGATTTATTTGCAAAAAATTTTCAGTCAGTTTATGAGCCTACATTGTCTAATAATAGATATAAAAATTTTAATGGCGTTCATGGGAATAATGTTGATATAAATTTAAACATTGGTTCACATATTATAAAGATTTCAGATATTCTTACAAAACTTGAAAATATTGAACTAGATAAATGTAGTGGTCCCAATAATATTTTACCAAAATTTCTTCGTAATTGTGCTTTTTCATTGTCGAGACCTTTATGGCTAATTTTTAACTCCTCGTTATGTAAGGGTGTTTTTCCTGCAGTCTGGAAAACATCATTTGTTAGCCCTATATTTAAAAATTCAGGAAATAAGGATGAAATTGTTAATTATCGTCCTATTACTAAGTTTTCATGATTCCAAAAATGTTTGATTCTATTATAACAGATTTTCTAAATTCGCAATTGAGTAATGTTATAATTCCGAATCAGCATGGATTTTATTCAGGGCGGTCAACTAACATCAATCTCATTATATATCATGATTACATTGTCGGTGCCTTGGAGCAGGGTATGACAGTAGATTCTGTCTATACTGACTTTTCCAAGGCATTTGACAAGGTCAGCCATGATTTGTTAATAGCAAAATTCTGTGGCAAAATTGTCGAATATTGGTATTCATGGTACATTTATTTCATGGATTACTTCTTATTTACTAGATCGAATACAGATGGTTAAAATAAAGAATTTTTATTCATGTCCTATAAAAGTAACATCAGGTGTGCCTCAAGGGGCACATATTGCTCCAGTATTATTTAATATACAGGGTGTCTCTAAAAGGTCTTTACAAAATCATAGCACATATTCCCAAGGTCAAAATAAGTCGATTTGAAGCAACTTACCTCAGTCCGAAATTGCTCCGTTTCCGGGATACAGGGTGGTAAAGTTGAAAAATCAAAATCGAATTTTTCAAAATTTATGAACACATCTCGATGGATTGCTCTAAAAATTGGCACCTAGGGGTTTTTTGGGACGCGAAACCCGAATATCGACACCTTTTAACTATGGCCGCTAGATGACGCTTCACAATGCTCTTCTTATGGTTTAAAATGGCCGTAACTTTTTTCTCAGTGTAATTTTTCACTTTTTTTGGTAAGTAAATAATTGTGTCAACATTTTCAGACAAAAAAGGTATGCTTGTCATAATCCGTTTAAGTGAGCCTTCTGTGAGATATTTCCGTTTTTGTTGTCCGATGCCGCACCGAAATTATTGAAATTATTTTGAATAAAAAAAAATTTTCAGTACCTTTAGGAATGAAAAGTGGTCAGTGAATTACAAATGCGAATGTTTTCATTTGTTCGAATGTTCCTTGGACCAAAATAAGGTGATTTAAGCAAACTTACTTTATTACAAAGTTGCTTAGTTTGGGCGCTATAGGCCCCGAAGTGACAATTTTAAAATAGTTTTTTTAATAAACTTTGAACAGTTTGTTCGATTTTGCTAAAATTTGATATGGTGGCATAGCTTCACGTGGCAAAAACACCGATATCAAAATTATTGATAATACAGTCCATGGGCGGAGGTCTAGGGTTTTTTAATAATTGCATGTCTTGAATTTCTGCGCCAATGAAGGAAAAGAGATTTGGGCATGAGGTTTAGATTAACCAAATTATTTACTACAAAAAAGGTACTCTTGATGAAACTTGATTACTCTCATGGTTTTTGCGAAAATTGTATTTTAATAATTCGATGTTCGATTTTTACAAAAAAATATGTTAGCAAAAATAGTTTTTCAAATTTATTTTAAGGTAAAAAGACCAACAAACATGCTCATTCAGTCGGCGGTGCCGTGCCACATTCCATTGTTTATGTTTTTTTTTGTTGGATTCCATAGCTTCGTGTAAATAAAACCATTGTCGGGGGTAATATCCGTTTTTTTGATTGGTTCAAATTGACAGGTGGGAAATAATCAAATTTAAACCACATTCAATTTTTAATAACGTTAAACTTTATTTTCCCTAATAAACAAGAAAAATTTACATTTTCGTGATCTATCATGGCCGTACAATACACCAATGCAGAATATACCGATATGTTATTGGTATTTGGATATTGTCAAGGAAATGGTCGAGAGTGTGTCAGGGTGTACTCCGAGAGGTTCCCAAATCGTCGTATACCAAGCCACCCAACTTTTGCTGCTGTTGAGAGGCGTCTTCGGGAGACTGGCCGCTTTGCACCAGAAACCACTGATTATGGAAGACAGCGTTTTGTCAGGGTTCCTGAAGTAGAAGAAGAAATTTTGGAACGTGTTGAAGACGAGCCAGAAGTAAGTACCAGACGAGTAGGTAGGGAAATGGGAGTATCCAAAGATGTCGTCCATAGAGTACTTAAAGAACAGTTGTTACATCCATACCATAAAATGTCAGTTCAAGATCTATCACAGCATGATCCTGAAATGCGCCTGGTTTTTTGTCAGTTTGTTAATGGGCAAAGAGAAAGA